CTGGTGGGCTACAGTTCTTGGAGTCACAGAGTTGGACGTGACTTGGTGACTAAACAATAAGAACATGAAGCCACCCAACACAATACCTTATTGACTGAAAGAAAAATGCAAAAAGCAGAAGTTATGAGTTAAGTTTTATTCATGGATCTTACTGAGGACTATGACCCAGGAGACAGCTTTTCAGGAATCACTGAGGAACTGCGCTGAAGAGGTGTATGGTCACACCACTCAAGAGGGCTGTTCTCATGCTCTCTGTGCATCGTCCCCCCGCCACCCCACCTTCTGCTGGACCAGGGCCTGCTTCACCTACAGCCTGCTCGCATGACTGAGCTTCCTACATACTTGTCTCAGGCCCCAGCTGATGATTGTTCCCAATCGCTTATGAAAGGGGCAGTGAAGGGCATGCCCCCTTGCAGATTTCCCTGGTAACCATGGTGCCATCCTGCCCTAACTTCCCCTGTAACTGCTAACCTCCCTCTGCCCATGAGAGCAAAGGGTGTCATGACAGGACCTTGCTTCAGACATTCCCCCAGCCTTCAAACCATTGACATCTCTGTCACTGACTCCGGGCTCAGTCTTTGATCTCAGGGCAGCCCACCAAGAGGTCAGGGAGGTGGCAGGAACATTATACTGGGTTTCTTTGCTATCTGGAGTGATCCCATACCACAAGTGAGCTAACCACCTGGAGATAAAGTATAAACCTTAGAACTCCTCATTCTCCTGTTGCTATTGATGTACATAATTAAAATTCCAAGTTAAAAGATACAAATGTATGCTCTTTTCTTTTTGCTGGGGAAAACATGCAATCAAGCATAAAAATATGATTGATAATCACAAAGGTCAGACGTTTCAAGTTAATGGTTTTAGTGCTTTTCTATGCATGAGAAGATGGGAGAATCTTAGGTCATTGAAATTTTTCCTTAGATATGCATGTTAACTGTTGAAGCCAGTATATCTAAAGCATGGGATGCTTCCTGCTTTTCTCCATCCTGAACTCCCCTCGGGGGCAGTGCACTATAGGTGGGCATCTGCAGTGGTTGATGGCTTGATCCTTGCAGGACTGGAATGACAGGCGACATTTTTTTCTTTACAGCCTAGTATCTAGTATGTGTTTGCTGCATCTTGGTTCCCCTTTCTGATCCTACTGACAACAAAGCCATGACGGGGGGAGTAGGTAGCCTGGAGTCCAACCACAGGAGCAGCTCACTGATTTACTGAAATGAAAATGAAGAAAGATAAATTCAAGTCTGATTTTGTTTGGAAAAACAATGGTGGTGATGAAAAGTGCATAAATCATCTATGCCCTTTTCTCTTCAACACCAAAGACCTCAAAATACACAAACCATCGCCCACAATATAAAATGTCTCTGCTTCCTAGCTCCTTGGCTGTGGGTGTGATAATCCCTAACTTGTGCATGCTTGCTCAGTTGCGAGGTCATATCTGACTCTTTTGTGACTCCAGAGACTGTAGCCTGCCAGGTTCCTCTGTCATGGAATTTTCATGGCAAGAATACTGCAGCAGATTGCCATTTCCTACTCCAGGGGATCTTTTCCACCTGGGGATCAAACCCACATCTCCTGTGTCTCCTGCATTGGCAGGCAGATTCTTTACCACTGAGCCACCTGGAAAGCCAAATACCTAGCTCAAGACTCTTTAAATGATTAATGAAGTTGAACAAGTAAAGGGTTTTTCTGATGGATGGGACTCTCTGGGGAAAGGAGGGAAGGAAAAGAAAGGTTATACCACCACCACGTTCTACTTCTGCAGCAATTCTAAACATCTTCCATAGGAACCCAAACAAAAACGATACAAGTGATCTCCCCTTCACTGTCAGTGAGGAAAGCTAGTCTGCATGGAAGCGGTTCACTCTGGAATTACAGGGCAAGCAAGGGAAGAAAGCGTGCCCTCTCAGCTTTGTGTCTGTCAGCACGTTTGCCCTGATTCTTCCGCCTGCTTTGAACCAGATACATTTATTTAGAGCCTTGTCAACAGATGCTGCAGAAGGAATCACCTGAGAAACACCTTTAAAAAAAGCAAAGCCAGTGCTTGAAGGCGCTGAGTTTCTGGTCCTAAAGCCTGACTCTAGATGGAGCTGCACTTTGCACGGCCCCAGGCACCCCTGGGGCGTTGGGCAGGCGAGCTCTTCTTTTACCTCCAGGCCTCTTCCCTCGGCCTGCACTCCTGTGTGGCTTGTGTGCCGGCTGGATTCCAGCACGGCACATTCTAGAAATTCTGAAGAGACCTTCTTTCTCTTTGGCTATGATGGACTGGCTTGGCTCGAAAACAACTTTGCTTCTTAAAAACAATATCCCATGTATTATTTTTTTGTGGTTTGCTTTTATTTTTTAAATTTATTTTTAATTGGAGGATAATTGATTTACAATATTGTCTTGCTTACCTCAGTGTGAATCAACCATAATATACAGATGTCCCTTACCTCTTGAACCTCCCCCCCGCCACCTCCCACCCCACCCCTCCCCTTTAGGTTGTCTCAGAGCACTGGACTGATCTCCCTGTGTTATACAGCGACTTCACATTAGCTATCTGTTTTACACGTGATAATGTATATGTTTCAGTGCTACTCTCTCAATTCCATCCACCCTCTCCTTCCCCTGCTGTGTCCAAAGTCCATTCTCTAAGTCTCTATTCTTGCCCAGTAAATAGGTTTATCAGCACCATTTTTCCAGATTCCATACATAAGCGTTAATACACAAAATTTGTTTTTCTCTTTCTGACTTCACTCTGTATAACAGGCTCTAGGTTCATCGACCTCATTAGAACTGACTCAGATGTGTTCCTTTTTATGTCTGAATAATACTCCATTGTATATATGTACCACAACTTTGTCTGTTCATCTGTTGATGGACATCTAGGTTGCTTTCATGCCCTAGATATTGTAAACAATGCTGCTATGAACCTTGGGAGACATATGTGTTTTTCAATTATGATTTTCCCAAGCTATATGCCCAGTAGTGGGATTGTTGGGCCATGCATTATTAATTTCCTCCCATTTCCACTGTGAGTGGTCAGGGAGTTTGAGCTTTTCTTATTCAGGAACCACCTAGGCTTTTGGAAAAATCACGGAGCCTCTCAAATGCAGCCTGTACAAGGATGCTGAGAGCATTTGTTTTCTTCTAACACTATGTATAATTTGTATTCAGCTTCCCCGGTGTCTCAGCGGTAAAGAATCTACCTGCAATGCAGGAGCTGCAGGAGACACTGGCTTGACTCCCTGGGTTGGGAAGACCCCCTGGAGGAGGGCATGGCATTATAAAATAAGTTTACAGGAACATCTATAACCATTTCACAACATTTTGGGGGATGCTGGCCTCACAAAGTTAAATCCAGTTCATCTCTGCTCTTGCAGGGGGGTAGGGGAGACATGACAGGTGCAAAACCTGTCACAGCAGCTGCCTGAATCTAAAATTGCATTGATGGCTTCCCAGCCCCACAACCACCTTCTGCTGAGGGCACTGATGCCCAGGAGGAATACTGGTGGATGCACAGGAAGGTGGGAGTTCAAGTCCTGCTTCAGGGCGCTTCTTGGTCACGGAAACCAGCGGGAGCTTCTCTGACAAAGCCCAGGTGCTGGGCAGGGGGCCAGTACGGGTGGGTCCAAGGCGACGGAAGACCTCGGGGATCTGGCTTCTGCTTTGTCCTAAGCCTCAAGGTGTGTTGACACGCGTGGCCCCTACACTGCCTGGATGGGTAATGACAGCTCGTCCAGATGCTCCGGTAGGGCTGAGTGAGTGTGCATGCTTCCTGGGCTCATCAAGCATTGGCACCTGACTGACCCCAGGTCCCATCTTGGAGCCCACTGGCCCATGCCGCCTGCAGCTGTCCCTGGCACCAGCATCTCCCAGTTCAGCCAGAGCAGTGGCTGCTTCAGAGTCTTCTAGACTGTGGTAGAAAATGCAGATTCCTGGCCCCACTCTAGACTCCCTAAATCCAAACCGGAGGTTCTGAAAATCTTCATTTTTAACAAATGCATGAGCTGAGGCTCCTACACAGACACCTCTTCTATTGAGCTTCTGGAGAACTCACCCCCCGTCTCACCTCGTGTCCAGGGGGTCAGGGCCCCTACCCCCCCCCTTGGTCTTGGGGAGAAGCCACGGGCTCCTGCCAGGGGCCCCAGGGAGGTGTCCCTCATTCTCTGGGGTGGAGGAGAAAGACCTCGCACACAGAAACATTAGACAAATCAGGTCTTTTATTTACAGACTATGACGAGAAAAGCATGCGAAAGAAGCCTCTTGGTCAATTATGTAAAGAGAAAGCTCTAAAACTCAATTTTCAGTAGAATGTGGATGCTGATATTAAAAAACAAAAAGCTGAAGTGAAAGAAAAGGCAGAAAGGTATGCTGCAGCATGGGTATCCTGTCTCGGAGGAAATGACAACTCAGCTGAGTGACTGTTGAGAGTGGTTCATCTTCTGTGCACAGACCTTCACAGGGACGGTCCTCGGAAGTTTCGACTTTTGAAATTTCTGGGTTAATTCTTAACCAGAATTCCAAAACGTCGGGGCCAAATGTGTTTGGCCTTACTGTGTCTCTAACTTGGGGCTGGGGTGGGAGGCTCGCCCTTGGCCGCTCTTGTCCCTCCCAGGTCACACTCGAGGTCCCCCGAGAAACTCAACAGGGTTCTCTGGGACAAGTCAGCAGCGCTGGGCCACCAGGAAGGCATGGTCCCAACCCACACAGGCTCCTTCCCCCCATCTGCCTTTCCTGTGATCAGCAGTCCTGACTCTCTTTCCCACTAAACGAAGCTGTGCTTTTCTTTCCACTGATGTCTCCTTCTCCATGACTCCCAGTGTGGCCAGGCACGCTATAATTATCTTACGTGTGTAAAAATGTGCCGTTGGCGCTTATACAGGGCCATTTCTAGTCTCTTTTCTTCACAAATATGAATGATGCAGGAATTAGGTCCCAGCCCACCTTCAATGATGAGTCTCCAGGACGTGAAGCAGAATCTAGCTTCACAGCTACAACGCTCTCCCCTCCACTCATTCCTCTTTCTGTCCATCTGTCTGTCTGCCTTCCAACCTTCTCCACTTCCTGGTGCCACCTGGCTGGGTTTGACGGGTGAAAGGTGGGCACTGAGGCTTCATTCCCCGGGAAAACTTCACGGAGCAACAAGTAGGTGTCGTCACCAGGCCTGCAGACCGGTTTGTAATAACTATTTCAAACTGGAAATTATTATTCTGGAAACCAGGTCCGAACAGGGGCCTGTGGTGGGGGTTGGCAGTGGGCACCTCCCTATCCGATGACTCAGTGGCAGTCCACAGATCATCCTCCAGGTCGAGGACTCTCATCCACCCCAACTTTTTGAATCCAGCTGAGATGTCAAATTGGGCAACACAGGAGAGGAAAGGCTACTCCAAGGGCAGCCAATGTGAGCTCACGGGCCTCAGAGGGTCTAGAAGCATCAGCATGGCACCTCTGACCACCTAGCCTCCCCTCGCCCACATCCAGAGCCTAAGACTTTCTAACACTGATAACCCAGACCTGGTCCCAGTGCTTCCACTTCTCTCATCCAGCATCCTTCTTCTGCTTCCTTCATACCTTCTCCTACTTTCTGGTTCCTTTTCTGAGTCATACACTTTCCTTTCTAGCTGTTTCTCTCCCAAGACAGAGCACCTGCTGTCGGTTTGATGCCAAGGATGACGGGGCTGATGGTACCTTGTAGCTGGGTCAGGAAGTCCAAGACCTCAACTGGTTATCTGCCTGCAGGCGGGTCTGGCCAGCCCCACATGTGGCTGGGCCAGAATGGGCTGGACTGGGCCCGGCAGTGCTTAAGAGCCCTCCATCCCTCAAACAACCTGCACTTCAACTTGCTGATCCTCCTTCCCTCATCACCACCTGCACATTCATGTCAGAGAAGGTGAAAGTGACAAGCCTTCATCTACTTGAAACAGTCATGACACAGTGTCAACATGGTTTTCAAAGCATCGTAGCCTTCAAAGAGATTTTTCTTTCTTCCTTCTTCTCAAGCCTGTAATTAAACTTCTGGTGGCAAAGGAGTGCAGAAAGGAGATGGGGGGAATGACTTTAGGAATAAACAGTTCCTTGGGTGCCCTCAGAACCGAGGCAGCCAGGGGCTGGGAGCTCTGTCTGCCTGAGAACTTTCCAGAATTGAGCAAATTGGCTCACTCCAAATCAAAATCCCCCACCCCCCACCCCACCCTTAATCACCACTCTGCTGCCCACCCAGAGCACTTGCCAAGTATTTGCCTCTCAGCCACCCCCTGCCATCTTTCATGGGCAGCTCCGGTTTTAGCAAACTCTTGCTAATCCCAAACCTGACCTCAGCCTAATTCTCTGCAGGATTGTCCACCAGGGCCACCTGTGTCCGAGAGGTGTGGAACTCAGCAGATGGATGGGGATGACTCATCCATAACATTCATCCGATTCAACCAAGACAGTTCTTTCTCTTCTGAGTATTTTGTGGGTTCAAGTCTGAAATGCTCCTGGGTTCGCACTGTTTCCAGAACAGAGGCTTCCGATTATTTTTGCGGGGTCCGCCCTGGCAGCTCCCACTAGCGGACGAAAGACACCACGCTGGTGGCCACGCCGAACGGGGCGGAGTAGGCAGCGGCAAATCCCTGCAGGCCAATCACGATGTAGCGGCATCCTTTGGTGATAAACTTCCCAACGTTCTATTTTTAGGAACAGAGGAGAAAAGCAAAGGGTGAGATGAGGCAACTTTGTAATCTTTCATGCACAATGGTGCCATACATACAGAGTCATCTTGCCTCACTTTCCCAGGGCAAATGAGCAAGTCAGCAATTTCCCACCTCTCTGCCACCCCACATGGAACCCCATCAGAACACACATTAGCACCTTGTCAAGGGCTTTCCAGCCCCACAAGTTTCCAGATAATTCAAAGATCTTCTTGGAGACAGCCATGAAGCTGCTAGTTCTAGAACCAAACCAGGGGTGGTCCAGTGGCTGAGACTCCACCCTCCCAATGCTGGAGGTCTGGGTTCAATCCCTGTTCAGGGAACTAGATCCCACACGTCACAATGAAGACCTGGCACAGCCAAATAAATATTTTTAAAAATTTAAACCAAACCAATAGTGTTGTATTATTCAAAACAAAGCCCACTCTCCTCTGTCCAAGTGAAGTCACTAGATTGGAGGAGGGCTGGGTCAAGTTTTCCTTCATTCATCTGACCTGAAAGCCCACCCAGTCCTCCCTCTAACCCCAGGACACGCCCCGTCTGACCCACATTTTGGGTCTCTAAAGTCTTCCACAGCTCTGTGACTGTTGCGCCCGTGGTTTGGGGTTCCCGATACAATTCTACACTCTTTAAAGGTAAGGACTGGGCCCTACTTTCTTGGTATCCATTCTTCATCCTCCTTGTTTTCAAGGCTTGGTGCTGGTCAGAGGGCATCCCAGGGATTCAAGTGGAGTGGCAAGAGAGAAATGAAGACCAGAAGCACCAACTAACACTGACTGTGCTGTTGCCCCTCCCCCCTTCTCCCGCCACACCCAACTTTTGTCTCCATGACAACAGCATGGAGACCTGGTAGGTGACCTGGACATCATCACACATCTTGTCTCTCCGTCCTCAGTGTTTCCAGCTTGAATGAACACTTGGATCCCTGTTGGACCAGTTGGATCCCTGACCACAACTGCAAGCCTCACTTTGACGCCAACACTGCCTGACCAGCCTGGTCTGTCAGTCCAGTAGGCTGACTGTCCCTCTCTCCCAGGTACGATTTCTTACCACTTCCTTTCTCCACAAGCCCCCAGTGCACACGAACACACACTGTGTCCACACGCTCATTAGATGACCCCACTTTATCTCTCACTGAAAGACTCAGAAGTCACTGGGGAAGCCAGTCATCCTCTACCGCTGTCTACACCTGCCCTGACCTCTCCTCCCGCCTTGCCGTGTCCCAGTGGGAAAAAGTACCCCTGAGGCCATTCCCTTGACACTTGCTGCTGGCACGCTCTTCCCCCTTCCCACAGCTTTCCCTTCTCCAACATCATCACCCTCTTCCTCCCCACTGGATCATCCCCCTTAGCTTACACACACGCCCAGCTGCCCCCTCGACCCCACGGCCTTCTCTAGGTCCTGCCCGGGTCACGCCACACCAATGGAGAGGGTCATCGGCACATACTGCCTCCACGCGCCCCCGTCTTATTCCTTCCTCCTCTACTCTGACCCATCCAGGACGGCTTGGTCATCGCCATCTGCCACCGCCATGTGGCCTGAGCCAACGAGCACCTTTCTGTCTTCCCCCTGACTCTTGCCCACTTTGGATACCTCATGAAACAGTCATTGTGATTTTTCCCTCACCTCACATGAAGCCTTCTTAAGCTCTCTTTTCTATTTTTTAAAATTGAGGTATAGTTGATTTACAATGTTTCAGATATCCAGCAAAGTGATTCAGTTCTATATATAAATAGATATATGTGTGTGCCCTGCTTAGTCACTCAGTTGTGTCCAACTCTTTGCGACCCCCTGGACTGTAGCTGGCCAGGCTCCTCTGTCCATGGGGATTGTCCAGGCCATATATATATATATATATACACACATATGTATACATAAAACAGGATCATTTGCTGTATGTCTGAAACACTGTAAAAAGGATATATATATATATCCATCTATATAGATATAGTCTTTTTCAGATTTTTTTCCATTATAGGTCATTATAAGATATTGAATATGGTTCCCTGTGTTATAGGGTAGGTTCTTGTTGTTTATCTATTTTATGTACAGTAGTGTATATGCTGATTCAAAATTTCTAATTTATCCCTCTTCCCCTCTTGGTAACCATAAGCTTGTTTTCTATGCCTGTGAATTTATTTCTGTTTTGTAAATAAGTTCATTTGTTATCTTTTTTTTTTTTTTAGTTTCCACATACGAAAGTGAAAGTGAAACTCACTCTGTCTTGTCCGACTCTTTGCAACCCCATGGACTGTAGTCCATGGAATTCTCCAGGCCAGAACACTGGAGTGGGCAGCCTTTCCCTTCTCCAGGGGATCTTCCCAACCCAGGGATCGAACCCAGGTCTCCTGAATTGCAGGCAGATTCTTTACCAGCTGAGCCACAAGGGAAGCCCCACATATAAGTGGCATCATATGATATTTGTCTCTGACTTATTTCACTTAGTATGATAATCTCTAGGTCCACACGTGTTGTTGCAAATGGCATTAGTTTGTTCTTTTTTTTTATGGCCCTCCTCAGGTTTCTTCACGGGATTATTCTTTCAACCAAACTTTAAAAATGTTATTCTTCAGTATTGTTCCTTATTTTTTATTTTAAAACATGTTTTGGCCCAGAATTTCTCCACAGGTGGTGTCATCCATTTCCAATGACTTTGAGTATTTCCTGTATGCTGATAAATTCCAAATTTATATCTTTGGCTCCTACTCAAATATTTACCTATTTGAGGTCTCTATTTTTTGAGGCTTCCTGATTCCTCTGGCAAACACTCTTCCTTGCTGCAACAAATAGGCAAATCTAACTTGGACTGGCGACACATATGTTCCTAGAGGCCTTTGGTTATTAGGCTTCAACAAGAAGTAAGCACCAAGGAGTTGAGTTTATTTGTGATTATACAGCTGGTAAGAGGCAGAGCTGAACTTCAATCCCAAAGAAATCTCATCTCAGGGTCTGTGTCCTTCACCCCCACATACACTTCCCTTCTTTCAGGAAGGCAGATGTAACCTTGCAGTTGCTTGTAGCCTGGGCTTAAAGTCCACCCCGTCACTTACTTAACCTTCCTTGGCCTCAGTGTCTTCACCTATAAAATGGGAATACTTGGTAACCACCTCACTGGGTAAAGAAGATTAAATGGGTTTATGCAAGGAAAATACTTAGAACAGTTGTTGCTTACTTGCTAAGCTGTGTCTGACTCTCTTGAGACCCCCATGGACTGCAGACCACCAGGCTCCTCTGTCCATGCGATTTCCCAGACAAGAATACTGAAGTGGGTAGCCACTTCCTTCTCCAGCAGATTTTCCCAACCCAGGGATAGAATCGTTGTCTTTTGCATTGGCAGGCGGGTTCTTTATGAGCGAAGCCCACTAGAACAGTGCCTGGGACCAAATCAGGCAGGACAAATGCCCCCAAAGATCAGCTAGTTTTATTGGAAAATAACCTCTGCCTCTTTTTACTTTATAGTAGTTTAGGTATGCGGTAGTAATTTTAAAATCTAAGATGTTTCATTATCTGTTCAGGGAAGTTTCTTAAGACTGTACTTTCCTATGATTTCTGGCTTATTTTGGCTTTCATCGACCTTGGGATAACAGAAAGAGGTCCTGCTCAATGCTGTATGCCCAGCACCCAGAAAGGGCCTGGGTATTTCCTTTGGTTGCTCTCAGACCAGAGGAGGAGTTCTGGGAGATGATGGTAATTTTGATGGCTTCTTTAGACACTGATTCCTAGGACACTGTGTCATCAACTTCTCAATGGGACATTAGGGTGTATGTAGGGAGGTGATGCTGCTAAAAGATACATCTCTACAAATGTGTGATAAGATTCAGTGGGAGAATTTTACTTACCTGTTTGAAATAACAACAAAAATTGTCCTGTAACAGTCCAGAGCACCCTTTAGAAGCAAAGCCCCTAGAATCATGGACAGCCTACATTAAACTTGACATTATGGGTATTTGTACATCCACTTCCTTCTGCCTGCTATTTTTAAAAAACTGCTTGTCACTTCATCTTTGCCAATGAGAAAAAGATGTTACTAAAATAGCTCATTAGCTAGAACATAATCAAAACACAGAACTTGAGAAATGTGATGCAAAGAAATGCAAAATATTACCATCGACCAATTCAGTGTCACTGGATGGAGCAGATTTTGCAATCTTTGGTCCAAATAGAGCTTTTTTAAACCAAATGATCTTTCAGAAGGGCAGAGGGGCCTGGAGGAATCACAGGACAGTGTGGAGGGTTGGATAATGCCTTCTTCAGGATAATGCCTGAGTCCTAATGTCCAGAATTTGTGTATAGGCCACCTCATTTGGCAAAAGGGACTTTGCAGATGTCAATTAACGACAGATCTTGAATTGGAGGGACTACCATGGATTATGGATTATCTTGGGGAACCCGATCATTATAAGGATTCTTATATCTTTATTAATAAAAGGATCCAAATAAGAACAGCCAGTCTTATAAAAGTGATTCTGGAGGACTCAGAGAGAAGGCACTATAGTGGCAGAAGCAGAAGGACAGCGAGAAAGAGATCTGCAGATGCCATGCCAGTGGCCTTGAAGGTGGAGCGGGGTGGCGAGGAGGGGGTGCACCTTTAGAAACTGAAAAGAACAAAGAAACGGTTTTCCCCTGGAGCCTCCTGAAGGATTCAGCCTGCCGATGGTAGCTCAGAAAGGCCGATTTTGGACTTCTGGTCTCCAGGACTGTAGGAGAGCAAGTTTGTGTCGTCTTAAATCACTGTATTTGTGGTTACTCTGTTACGGGGAATCTAATACAGGGAATGTGACTTTTCTAGGGGCTCCGAGGCATTCAACTAATCTCCAAAGATGTCATGGATTCCATGCCACCTCTAGTTTCCAAAAGGAAACCAGTTCTCAACAAAGGTCCTTTTCCCTGTAATATAAAATCCAGCCTTCACATCCCAGGCACAAAGCTGAGGTGGCTTGTCAGCTAAGTGTCAGTCGCTCAGTCATGTCCAGCTCTTTGTGATCCCGTGGACTGACTGTATGTAGCCATCAGGCTCCACTGTCCATGGGATTCTCCAGGCAAGAATACTGGAGTGGGTTGCCATCTCCTTCTCCAGGGAGCTGATTTTTTCCCCCTGAGATACAGCTCATTAAACAAAATCAGAAAACAACCAGTCATATAGAGCCTCTCCTCCATCTCTTAGAAAACAGCCAACAGTCACAGAACCATCATCACGCTCCAGGTGCATTCTAAGACCTCTGCGTGGATGAACTCATTCACTCCTTACCACAGCCCATGTGACAGAGAGGAAACCAAGTCAGAAGGAGAGCAGGGCCCAAGGTCACACAACCAGCAGGAGGCGGGGCACAGCTTGTACCTGGCCATCCGGCTCAAAGGCCCATGTCCTGACCCTCTCCTTAGACGTGGGGACAAGACCCTCTTGAGCTCAAGGTCATTCCACACCCTGTGTTTTCCCTCTCCAACTCCCTTCAAGCGGCCCGATTAACAAAATTTAGTAAATTTCTTCACCCAGCCCTCTCCCTGTGGCTCTCAGAGGTGCCTGGGCAAGGTGATGACCTACTATTTGAGCCTAAGTTTGGGGTTAGGTGCCCTTGCCCCCCTCCTGCCTCCATCCTAACTGCTTCCGCACAGCCAGAGGCCAGGGAAGGTCCTGATGCCCAGCTTGGCTTCTCTCAAGCTGTGCGGCCTTGAACGACGAGCTGAACTTCCTGAAACTCCAGTTTCCTTCACTGCAAAACGGGAGTCTGTGGGCTTGCCAAGGTCGTTAAGAAGAGTCAGAGCTATGGCACGTTGTGTGCACCACGGAGCTTCGGGCAGACTGTCAGAGCAAAGAAGTACTTCCGCCTCCCACACTCAGAAAACGGGCACTTTCCCAGCAACCCAGGCTCCATCTGAATATTCTGTTACTTCAAAAATCATCTGGGGCCCCTGACCACCAAGAGTCCCAGGCACCCAGCCTTCGGAGCCCAGAGCTTCCTGCCAGAGGCTGGACCCAGAACAGCCCTGGGGTGACCCTACTTGGGGCCACGGGTTAGTATAGGGTGGGAGTGCCTATCCTAGGACAGTTCACAAAAGCCAAACACCTTTCTGTACAGGGGGCCTTCCTTGGTGGTCCAGTGGTTAAGAATCTGCCTTGCAATGCAGGGGACAACGGTTTGATCCCCGGTCCAGGAAGATAACACATGCTGCAGAGCAATAAGCCGGTGCACCACAACTGCTGAAGCCCAACTGCCTTAAAGCCCATGCTCTGCAACAAGTCGCTGCAGCGAGAAGGCTTCAGACCACGACTAGAGAGCAGCTCCTTCTCGCCAAGTCTAGACAGAAGCCCGAGCACAGCAACAAAGACCCAACACAGCCAATCATAAAGAAATACTTTTTTTTTTTTTTTCAAAAAAGAGAAGCAGGAAAGCACCTGGATGAGTGCCTAAAAGATAGAAAGGAACTTCTTCGCCCTTCCATGGAGCTATCTGCAGGTCACTTCTTATGCCCCTGACCCAAGTGAGATAAAATTTTGCCTGGTGTACCTCCCTACATTTCTAGCTGAGCCTTGGCTAGTCTCATGGATTTTCAACAAAGAGTGGTGGCTCATTTGCACCCTGGGAGTTGAGGGGCAGAAAGGGCATATCCACCTCTAACAGGACAGTGTCCTCACCTGGCTTCCTGGTCTATTGAACCAGCGTGTGACCCTGCAGAGCTGTCACTGCCTCACTTCTGCTAGCACTCTGCCCTGTACCCCATCCTTTTTCTATCTGGTGGAATTCTTTCTTGTTTTTTTTTTAAGGTGAGGTGAAATTCACATAATGTAAAAGTTGACCATTGTCAAGTGAACAACTCAGTGGCATTGAGCACATTCACAACAGTATGCAACCACCACTTCTGTCTACTTCTAAATATTTTCATCATCCCCAAAGGCAAACCCATACACATTAAGCAAGCAGTCGCTCTGCATTTCTCCTTCCCTCCAGTCCCTGGCAAGCAACCATCTGCCTTCTGTCTCTCTGGATTTACCTATTCTGGATGTTTTATATAAATGGAATCATACATGATATGTGACCTTGTGTGTCTGGCTGCTTTCAACTAGCACCGTGTTTTATCCATGTTGTAGCATGTATTTGATTCCTTTTTATGGCTGAATAATATTTCACTGTGTATGTGTACTACATGTTGTTTATCCACTTATCAGTTGATGGACATTTTAGTAGTTGCCACTCTTCAGCTATTGTGATGTGAACATGTATACATATATATTGCTTTGAGTACCTATTTTCAGTTCTTTTGGGTATATACCTAGGGGTGGAATCACTGTAACTACCATTACATATGGTGCATGTGTGTGTGCATGAGTGTGTGAGTGCTCAGTTGTGTTCAACTCTTTGTAACTCCATGGACTTGTAGCCTGCCAGCCGCCTCTGTCCATGGAATTTTCCAGGCAAGAATACTGGATCAGGTTGCCATTTCCTCCTCCAGGGGATCTTCCTGACCCAGGGATCGAACCCAAGTCTCCTTCATCTCTTGCATTGGCAGGCAGATTCTTTATCACAGTGCTACCAATATATATATATGTATGTATATATATACCCTTTTTCAGATTCTTTTCCATTATAGGTCATTACAAGATATTGAATATAGTTTCCTGTGCTATACAGTAGGTCCTTTTTGTGTATTTATACAGTAGCCATATGTTAGTTCTGTGTTTAATTTTTTGAGGAAATGCTAAATTGTTTTCCACAGCAGCTGCCCCATTTTACATTTCCACCAGCAACTCACAAGAAATCAAATTTTCCACATTCTCACCAACACTTGCTATTTTCTGTTTTTTTTTTTTCTAATAATAATCACACTAGTGAACGTGAACTAGTACCTCATCATTAACCTGTGAAACCCTGACTCATCCTTCTGTGACGAGTTTGCATGTCACCACTGATCTGAGAAACTTGACTTTACAACCTCGTTCCTGAAGATAAAATGCCGAGGCTCTTGCCATGTAGCTCCAGGGCAGTGACCCATAGGCCAGCGTCTCCTGGGAAGACTCTGCTAGGGCATGACTGCATCATACCCATTTTAGATCTCTAATGCTCAGCACTACGTCTGGCACATCGTTAGAACTCCCAAAGCATCTTCAGCTCAGCCAGCCTCTGAGTTGGGATTCACACATGTATCAGTTCACCAACTGAGGCAAAAAATGACTTTTTTGGTGCTCAACTGGGAAAAAAGGAAAAAGGATGATTCATCCTTGCATGACTCTAAGCCTGAAAGTTCCAATTTTATACTTTTTACTAACATACATTTATTAATATACTTTACCACTGCCTACTTGTTTACTGGTCCCAAAGCTGCTGACACACCTTAAAAGAAGATGACAAAGCTCAGTTGCTAGGTGTGGAGACTGGTCAGTTTCAGGGATGATAAGAGATGGCCGGAGGGCACAGATAACTGGAGGGACAATGATGAGGTGGAGCCTCTGCCCTTTGGCCAAGACAGACTGAGTTCTCTGATTTTCTTCTGGGTTGCCTTGTCCAACTCCAGGCGCCAGAGGCAGCAGTATCTTTAAGGGTTTCCAAGCAGAAGAACTTGGGAGTAGCTTTGTGGCTTTGATCTCTGAGAAAGAAACTGCCGTTGTATCCCATATTCATATTCATATTCTCTCTCTGTCACCCCCCACCCCCACCCCCAGGCAAGTGACAGTATGTTTGCAGAGAAACACACAGGGCGAAAAGTAGATTCAACGAGTAGAATACTTAGGGACTGTTGCGCTCCGAGGCCCTGGAAATCACCTTGAGAATATTTAGGGGGAACAAGGCCAACAATTCTCAGCTAGTGGGATGTCCTTGAGAGGATGTTGCTGGAAAACAGATAAACTGGGCTGTAACTCCCTGCTTTCCAACTGGGCCATCTTCTACAAGTCACCGAAACACGCTAATTCTTCAGTGTTCCCATCTGTAAAACAGGGACACTGATTCCTGTCCTCCCGAATACCCCGGGGAGTGGGAAGACACCCCTAGGACAAGAACCACCTGGTAGTCGACCCTTGAGAACGTTATTCACCCTCCAGCATGGGGGAAGCCGGGGAGCTGTGCGCAAGGAAACCTCTCGTTCGGTTCCGATCCCTCTCCGCAGTCCCCTTCGCCCCACTGCCCAGTTCACGGAGCCGTTTCGGGGCTCCAGGAGAGAATGGCGGGGGCGGGGGCGGGCGCGGGAGCAGGGCAGAGAGGCTGAGAGCGTCCGGATGTGGGGATCGGACTCCGGCTCTCCGTCGGGATGCCCGACCCAGGGTACTGGGGGCGGCGGAATGCCTACCTTGCCACACTTCTTCAGCTTCTTCCGGTACCTCTTCTTGGGCTTCTCGCTCGGCACCTGCTCCTCCAGCGGCTCGTAGCGCTCTGGGAGGACGGCGAGGTGCACCCTCCGCGCGCCCCGGGACCCCGGGCGCCGGACGCTCGCCTCGCTCTCCGCCGCCTCCGCCCCGCTCTCCAGATGCTCCAGGATAGCGGCCGCCTCCTCGTCCCCCTCCGTCCGCCCTCGCCCCCGGGCCAGCGGCCCGCAGCGCGGGAGGTTGCCCGCCGCCTTGCTTCGGAGCCTGGCTCCCACCGTCATGATGCCGCGGGCCCTCCGGCTGAGGTCGGAGAGTAAAGACACCAACCTTTGCTCTCAGCCCGCACCTCCAGCCGAGCCGCCCGCCCCTGCCCAGCGCGACTCGGCCCAGCCCAGCCCAGGCCAGGCCAACCCGGACGGGGCGGGAGGACTTGGCGTCGCAGCGCCCCCTGGCCGTGGGGTCCGGGATGGCCGTGGCTCCACCGGGCCTGGCCCTGCGGCTGGTTGGCCCCAGCAGCCAGGATCCCAGCCCCTGGGCAAGGGATATCTCGAAAGGTCAACGCACAATTAGCACGCAAAGCACGTTCAACCGCACTTACAACGAAAGAAGTGAACTCCAACTACTGAGACTTCCTTTGCCCACGTGCAGACTGGCAGAGATGATGATGGTGGTGATGATGATGATGAAAAAAATGATAGTAATAAAGATCGTGGGCTTCCCTGGTAGCTCAGTGTAGTCCTCCTGCAATGCAGGAGACCTGGGCTCGATCCCTGGTCGGGAAGATCCCCTGGAGAAGGAAATGGCAACCCACTCCAGTATCCCTACCTGGGAAATCCCATGGACAGAGGAGCCTGGAGAGCTACAGTTCCATGGGATTGCAAAGAGTCCAACACGACTGAAGGATATTCAGTGCTGGTGAGGATATGGTGAAATGATGGTTATAATACAGTATTCAATGGGATGCAAACTAGAGACAGGCTATTGGAAAGGCAATCAGAAAATATTTATTGAGTTCTGAAAAACAGTTGTAACTTTCCAGGTGTCTATGCTAAGGAAACATTCAGAAACACAAAGCAGTGAGTGGATGGTGTTCATCACAGTCTGACTCCAGTGAAAAAGGGAGGCAAACTACCAGGGATGGATAAGTTAATTCTGGTGTGAGCATATGACATCATATGAAGTAATCTTTCAAATCACAATTTTCAAGAATATCACTCTGGTATACATGCATTCTCAGATTACTGTGCATCTCAATCTGTTTGGGATATTTTACTTTCTTAGGTTGGTGAATACCTGTTAATTATTGGAAATTTAGCATTAAGTATAAAAACAATGTATTATTTCATTAATATTTTAATACTATCAAAATGTGTGATATGTTTAAGAACTGTTTGGATCTACTGCTGTAAGTATATAAAATAGTTATAATTTAACATAGTAGAATATAAAAAACTAGTTTTGTGATTTCAACTTAAATTGTAAAATCAAATAAATTATTTAGACTTATAAGTTTAACTTGAAAGGAATATAAAAATAAGTTAACTTACTATATTTATGAGTTACATAGTCCTGTACATAGTTGAAGGACTTGAAAATCACGTATATTAAGTTTATAAAAGTCACTTAAAATCTTTAAGAAAATTAAATGAAGTGAATGATAAAAACCCATTACAGTGACTGTTAAATTTTATTAGGTTTGTAAATGAAATAAAACAGTACTGAAGGTTAAAAGATTATGGGAAGCTTATCTATGGATTTGTAACTTTACTAAGATAACCATCAATTTACAAACAAAAACAGACTCTAATCATCCCTTTTCTATTTGAAAAATGGACTTCAGGGACCCTCCCACTCCCAACTATATAACAAATAAAGACATAGGTGAAATGTCCGTGGGATGTGTTTTGTTTGTTTCCTATGGATTTTTTTTTTTTTTTTTTGGTTGTACTGGGTCTCTGCTGCAATACACGAGCTTCTCTTGTTGCCTCATAGCATGTGGGATCTTCATTCCCAGACCAGGGATCAAACCCACAACCCCTGCATTGGAAAGTGGATTCTTAGCCACTAGACCACTAGGGAAGTCCCCATATGGTGTGTTTTTGTCCAAACAAAATAATTTTCAAATATCACAACAACATTTAGCTTGCCTGTTAAAAGTAAAACACTAGAGCAATTGAAAATTGATCCCCAGATTAAGTCTCTATAATAAGTGAGCAAACAGGACTCAAGGAGATGTAATCAGAACCCATGTTATGTTGCTCACTATCATCTCTTTAGAAGTTATTCATAGTGGGGTGTGGTTCCCTTATTTCTACATGACTACTTCAGTTCAGTTCAGTCACTCAGTCGTGTCCGACTCTTTGCGACCCCATGAATCGCAGCACGCCAGGCCTCCCTGTCCATCACCAACTCCTGGAGTTTACTCAAACTCACGCCCATCAAATCGGTGATGCCATCCAGCCATCTCATCCTCTGTTGTCCCCTTCTCCTCCTGCCCCCAATCCCTCCCAGCATCAGGGTCTTTTCCAATGAGTTAACTCTTCGCATGAGGTGGCCAAAGTATTGGAGTTTCAGCTTCACCATCAGTCCTTCCAATGAACACCCAGGACTTATCTCCTTCAGGATGGACTGGTTGGATCTCCTTGCAGTCCAAGGGACTCTCAAGAGTCTTCTCCAACACCACAGTTCAAAAGCATCAATTTTTCAGCACTTAGCTTTCTTCACAGTCCAACTCTCACATCCATACATGACCACTGGAAAAAACATAGCCTTGACCAGACGGACCTTTGTTGGCAAAGTAATGTCTCTGCTTTTTAATATGCTATCTAGGTTGGTCATAACTTTCCTTCCAAGGAGTAAGCGTCTTTTAATTTCATGGTTGTAGTCACCATCTGCAGTGATTTTGGAGCCCCCCCAAAATAAAGTCTGACACTGTTTCCACTGTTTCCCCATCTATTTCCCATGAGGTGATGGGACCAGACACCATGATCTTTGTTTTCTGAATGTTGAGCTTTAAGCCAACTTTTTCACTCTCCTCTTTCACTTTCATCAAGAGGCTTTTTAGTTCCTCTTCACTTTCTGCCATAAGGGTGGCGTCACCTGCATATCTGAGGTTATTGATATTTCTCCTGGCAGTCTTAATTCCAGCTTGTGCTTCTTCTAGCCCAGCGTTTCTCATGATGTACTCTGCACATAAGTTAAATAAGCAGGGTGACAATATACAGCCTTGATGTACTCTTTTTCCTATTTGGAACCAGTGTGTTGTTCCATATCCAGTTCTAACTGTTGCTTCCTGACCTGCATACAGGTTTCTCAAGAGGCAGGTCAGGTGGTCTGGTATTCCCATCTCCTTCAAGATTTTCCACAGCTTATTGTGATCCACACAGTCGAAGGCTTTGACGTAGTCAATAAAGCAGAAATAGATGTTTTTCTGGAACTCTTGCTTTTTCAATGATCCAGTGGATATTGGCAATTTGATCTCTGGTTCCTCTGCCTTTTCTAAAACCAGCTTGAACATCTGGAAGTTCTCAGTTCACGTATTGCTGAAGCCTGGCTTGGAGAATTTTGAGCATTACTTTACTAGCGTGTAAGATGAGTGCAATTGTGTGGTAGTTTGAGCATTCTTTGGGATTGCCTTTCTTAGGGATTGGAATGAAAACTGACCTTTTCCAGTCCTGTGGCCACTGCTGAGTTTTCCAAATTTGCTGGCATATTGAGTGCAGCACTTTCACAGCATCATCTTTCAGGATTTGAAATAACTCAACTCGAATTCCATCACATCCACTAGCTTTGTTCGTAGTGATGCTTTCTAAGGCCCACTTGACTTCACATTCCAGGATGTCTGGCTCTAGGTGAGTGATCACACCATTGTGATTATCATGACTACTTAGGTAGTCCTATATATATATATAGGAGATTTTATATATATATATATATATACACACACATTCTGATCTCATAATCAAAACCCAAAGTTGCAAATATGTTCTCAATTTATATAATTTTAAATCTTACAATATCCAATTCCATGTAATACCCAGAGACTTGAACTTGATTTAAAATTAGTCCTCTCTCCTCCCTCAGAGAAATTCAACACCTGCAGGGCTGTGCTTACTAGCAGAAGCAGCTAAAACAGCAGAAACTTGGCTTTCATTCTAATCTGCCTTTCAAAACTCTCAGGAGTGCCCCTGATTATAAGTTAACTTGTTAAATTCCCTTCAGTACTCAAAGGACTCTGGAGGATGCTCATCTCCTAGCCTCTGCTCCCAGGAAAGGGAGTAGAATGGCCTGAGAGCCCATCCTTAGGAATCTTTCCTTCCTGGTAATAATTTGGAACCGGCAAATAATTAGTCCAAGGGATAGCATGTTCCCAGGCAAGAATACTGAAGTGGGCAGCCATTCCCTTCTCCAGGGGAACTTCCTGACCCAGGGATTGAACCTGGGTCTCCTGCGTTGCAGGCAGATTCATGAAAATATATCATCAGTTATTGAGTTAAAAAAAAATGCTTAAGATATCTCAGAGTCTTAAAAACAATTGTTTGTTTGAATTAACTTTCATAAGATAGTTATAAATATTTAATTGAAAATAAAATTTCCATCTGTAGACCTACAAAGATTTTATATCTTTTGTTTTGCAATAATTATATGAATTTGGAAAGAAAGGGGCTTCCCTGGTGACTCAGACGGTAAAGAATCTACCTGCAGCAAGGGAGACTTGGGTTTGATCCCTGGGTGGGGAAGATCCCCCGGAGAAGGAAATGGCTGCCCACTGCAGTGTTCTGCCCTGGGAAATCCCACAGAGAGAGGAGCCTGGTGGGCTACAGAATGGGGTTGCCAAGAGTCAGACCCGACTGAGTGACTGAACAGCAACAATAACACTTCTGATTAGCCCAAACCTCAAACTTCGGGGTCACCAGCGTCAAGAGGCCAAGGTGCTTGATCTTACAGGCACTGGGGCTGGAAGGGAACTGGGGCACAGCATCAGCATTTGTTCACCCCTGGCTTCAACTCCAGCAGGGCTCTGGCATCCACCACGGTTGGAAAGTTCGAGAAAGCCCACGTGCTTCCCAGTGCAGCCCCTTTGCTGCTTTCTCAGCACAATTCTGGGGATAAGGGAACCATCGCAGGGCCAAGTGATTTGTTTATTTTCTATTTGGGGCGTTTCCAGACTCCAGTCTAGCTTGACAGCCCCACGTAGCTAAAAGCTTGGCTCTTTCCTCCTCACCCGCAGACATCGCCTCTCAGTACCAAGCAGGCCCCCTCCTCTGGTCCCCACACACAG